AGGAGAGGAGGAGGGCTAGACAAGACGAGCAACGTGCTACCTGCGTGCTGCAGGTCTCACCTAAGTACATCTCACCCCATGTCGATGCAGGTATTGTCACTTTTCCCTCCCAAAATCGACCACACCAACAGCTTAGCGTACCGTACGGCGCAGCTCCCCGATCCCCGCCTGCAGTATGCAAGGTTTGCGTAGTTGGAGCAGGGGACCGGGGGGACCCTAACTCACGAGAAGGAAGACTGGGGCCCGATCCCCGGTGGCCGATGCATGCAACCTGGACCTCCAGTTCGAGAACGAGGGATATCCGGTCTGGCGAGCGATGGATCTCGACAAGTTACTATGTATGTACATACTCCTCTAGTCTCCTTCTTTGCCCCAAGTACGAGGTACTCCATAGACAGGTGGAAGTGGTGGCATATCCGTACCTCTCAGGCGAGGACTGGATCTAGATGAAGCCAGAACCCGGCCTGCTACGGCGTGCTCACCCCATTGGAAGAGGCCCATTGAAGAGGCCCTGTCCCATTCATATCCGGCTGCATCACCTCTTAGCCTATGATCTGTTTGCCAATACCAGTTCGTTTTGCGACTTTTGCGACGATTCTGGGACCTCTAAAGCTCTTGGGTTCTCGTCGGCCCGCTCTTCAGAGTGGTTTTGCGCGGGGATCCAGGCTTGATGGCGACCGCAAATAAGGGCCCCTCCTCCCCTCTCTATTAGACTGCTTCGCAAGTTATCCCCATCCGCTCATCTGCGGCCTGCTGATTCTTATCGTATATCCGAGTCATCAACCCAGAAGACGTCGTCGTGATGTGGCGGGCCAGCGCAGATAGCTGGGAATTTTGAGAGGCCAAGTGGTACTGAGGCAGTGAGGCTCTGAGCTCTCTGCAAATGAGAGGGCAGAAAAGGGAAAAAAGTTCTCCTGCGAGCGGGGGCGTTGCGAGAAGACGGGCAGAAATGGGGGCAGTTTTTAATAATGACAAGGCGACAAGACGGGACGGTCTAGCCGACTTTTACTGGACTTGTCAAAGTGTCAATTTGGCATCTGCCATCGAACGATGTTAATCTTTGTCGCCTGCTTTGCTGGGGTTCTAGACACACCAAAAAGACTCAATTGCGTAGGAAGTTCCGCATTACGCACACAACACAGTAGTAGACTTTCGGGAAGAGAAACTTTCCAACTGTCAACCTTCGCCTCGGCGCCGACACAACAGTCAACAGAGCAGAAAAAGCCAGGGCCACGAACGGTGGAAGTTTGACAGTTACCGTCCGTGGTCCGTTCAGACCTTGCAAGTTGCCAACGACTTGCAGCAGACGCAATGCCGCTTAGCACCGCCCGCGTCCCTTTACCGTCGCATCTTCTGCTTTTGGCCTAACCTCTCTCACTTCTCCCCTCCCAAGAACCCCGGTTCGTCGACCGTCGTAGGCTGTTGCACCATGGTACCACGGTTGACGTTGCTAACCCAAGCCAACCGTTGCCTTTCCGTAGTCGTATTTGGTAACTTCTGAAAGTATTCTCCCGAAGAGCAATTTTGTTCCGTGGAAGTTTTCCTGTCCCGAAGTAACCACACGCATTTTGGAGTCCCACGCCAGCCACACCCCCCTCCTCTTCGGATGGTACTCCGGACGGCATGATGGAGAACGACCGAAGCCAGCCCAGTCCCGGCCCCAGGAAGAAGAAATAATGTAATTCGGAAACCAGACTTGGGAGGCTTGGCAAAGCTTTAAGCGTGTAGCAGCCAGAAACCCAGAAAGAAGACGATGCATCAAATCGCAAGAAAAGGAAACGATGCAGCGATGCATTCGCTGCGGAGCCTCTTGCGGTGATCCCCCAAACACTTCGTCTTTCCCGCGCTTCCGTGAGCTACCTTCCTCTTCTTTGGAAGCTTCTCACATTTCATGCTGCCCAGCGTCACATTCGATTTACGAATAACCCGAAGACAGTCCACCCATCACTACTGCGTATGGCGTGGCATCACTGTATTTCCCTTGCCATGGCAACTTTTTCTGGCCGCCGCCCCATGTCCGATGGATGAAGGTCCCTGGCGGAGCCTGGTCATTGGGCCAGTGGCCGAACATCGAGACATTAACAAGGCCATGCCAGCACCAGGCCCCAAAACCCTATCACATTGCACGGATTCCCTCCAGACTGGCTCAATCCTTGCGGTGGTTGAGACAATTTGAGGACCGATTCCCTTTGCGAGACAAGGCATCCTAGGTTTCCATTTCTGCCTTGTCACTTGTGAGCTTTCTTGACCTGCCCCAAATGTCGTGACCTGCGAGCTTTTCAGGGCGTCGAAGCAGCAAGGCCAGGCGGGGATACTCTCTCGATTCCCCTCCTTGTAAGGATAGAGCTGGGTAGGCACGTATCCGTACCCCATAGCTTATTCCTTTCTTTTTGACTTCCCAAAGTTCCCAGAAGCTCGGAGCACGCATACGCAAAGCGACTGGCTCATATTTTCTTGTTCCTTGTGGATAATGTGATGTTCCCACCTAGCAAAAGGCAAGGTGAAGGGGCCATGCTGCACCACTCATCACACACAGAGTGTTCAGCGCCACGCACATATCCCACGCGCGAGCGGGCGGTAGAAGACCGCAACGCACCATACGACGTAATAAAGATTAAAGTGGCCAACCGTCCCCCTAGTCTCTGAGCCGTTTAACGTTCGCGGATGCTGTTTGTGTATTACTACTCTCCACCAAATTCATAAAGTGTCCCTTGCTTTCGACCTGCAGGCTAGGATCTTATTTTACCAGTCGGCTGGTCGCCTCCCCCCTCCTCCCCATCTTCGCTTCTCCCCTGAGTCCAAGTCCCCTTAACATCCGCTGGCCTTTTCATTCCTCTCCCCCATTCGAGCCCGGTTTTATACTACGCCGTTGGTCCCGCGTTGATTTGGTCTTGGTTTTCTCGTTGGAACTCGGAAACTCGTTGGACGTCAAAATCGTGTTGGTTGCAAGCCACAGTTACACACCACATCGCGGCAACGCTAGACGAGTCACGAAAGACCTCGGCGTTCTTCATCGGGAAGTTTGTTGGGCTTGTCTTGGATTTACGACTCAGCGCCACGCAGCCGCTGCAACGACCGTTTTATTTTATAAACCGCCGCTATGGGCTGGGTTCTCAACGCCACGCCCGAGGTCGAGGCCATATCGCAATGGCCGACCATCATCGCCGTCGTTATCGTCCTCTCTGTGCTTTCAGTCATCGTCGTGGGCTCTCGAATCTGGATCCGATTTTCTGCCCGAGGTCTGGCTGCCGATGACTGGATGTCGATTTTGTCCGAAGTATTTGCTCTCATCTATTCCGGCCTTACCATTGCACGTAAGTATCACGTCGAAAGTTGGATGTCTCCCACCAATGATTCTAATATGGTGTATCAGAAACGAGATATGGCCTCGGTTTACCCATCAAGCTTAGGCCAAAGGACAATCTGATTTTATACACGCGCATCAACTTTGCGGGTCGCCCATTTTACCAACTGGGCATCAGCTTTTTCAAGATTGCCCTGTTGATCAGTTATCTGCGTCTTCTCAAGGGAACCGACCAAAAGAACTATCGCCGCATCGTCTGGCTGACCATCATCTTGGTCTTTATCGCTCATCTCGGGTGCTCATTCTCCCTTGTCTTCGCCTGCACGCCTGTCGACAAGTCATGGAACCCCCTCAAAGCGGGAACTTGTCTGCCCGCGGGCCCATCCTTTACCGCATACGCCGTTGTCACCATCATTTCCGACGTCGTTGTGGCAGTCTTGCCAATCCCGGTGCTGCTCAAGCTCAACGTCCGCGTGGAGAAGAAGGCCGGTCTTATTGCCATTTTCCTCCTTGGCTTATTCACGACGCTCTGCTCTATCCTACGATACCTCGAGATCAACCGCATCCAGTACGGCGACGGCAACTCGACGATGCTGGTCCTGTGGGGCACCATTGAATTTAACGTTGGCGTAAGTTTTCTTCCGGAGAAGCGGCCGCGAGCTTTCCCCTTTCCCGTGTCTTCCGGTGAACCAAAATGGCTAATGAATATGGGCAGAATATCGTATCTTCACTTCCGTTCCTGGCACCTGTGTGCATGAAGAAGGCCAAGAACTATCGCTCAAAGTACTCTGGAGGCTCATCGCACGGACGAAGCCACCTGAAGGGCGCGGAACGGTACAAGCTCAGCGAGATGAACCACGACAAGTCCGTCTTCGCCTCGGCGAACCACAGCAAGGGCGACAACGGCAGCGAGGAGAACATTCTGCCCGGCAACATTATGAAGTCCGTGACGTACAGCGTCCAGGTCGACGACAGGGTGGACAGCAAACCAGGAATGCATGGTGGGATAAGCGGCGGCACGCGACGGAGGGATTCGCGAGATTCAGATGTGTAAGATGGAGAGTATCACGCATCAGCACAACTTTGAAAGCACAAAAAAGCATTTGAATGGCGACAATGTAACATGATAATGTGTAAAAGGGACTTGTTTTGGAAAAGAAAAGGATCAAATTCGATAGATCGATTGTAGGGCGTTGGAGGCGCTGGACACACGAAACGTGAGATGTTTTTGTTCATTAGTAGCGATCATTTCCCATTGAGGATTTCATCTTTTTCGGAATCCGGTTGAGGATCTGACGGAAGCGCACCGCATCACATCATCACTCATTCGCTTCTGCAGATAATGATACCCTCGATCGCAAGCCGGCGGGAGCAAGATGGGGGGAAACCTGGTCATCATCACAGCACGGGCAGGGCACAGCACAGGCACAGCACAGGGCTCTCGTCTTGCTGATCTCTCCACACCGCGGTGGAGGAAGCACAACAGACCGGGGTGGTTGGGAGGTGGTGGAGGGACGGTTACGTGTCAAGAAATCACCCCATCACCCCATACATCCCACAACACGATGCTGATCCCCATTCCCAAGAACACGGTGTACGCGATCTTTCTTGCCTATGTTTATGTCATGAATGAATCAATTAGACTAGAAAGATTATTAGAGCTACAGGTGGGCTATCCGCAAGTTCCATAGTCCATTTACTCTTCATCAAACTGAAGCTTCATCTCCCGCTTGCTGAGGAGCGGACTCGTAGGGCTAATCTTGGGCCAGTCGTGCGCATCCATGCAGGCCCGCCGCGACGCCAATACGCCGGGTCGGGCTCTGGAGACCACGGCATCTTCGTAAATGTCCAGAACGGCTCGGAGGTCCGCGAAGCTGTTGTTACTGCCGCTCAACTTCGACCCAACGGTCTCTGCGAAGTCGAGAACGTCGAGGATGGCGTGGTTGGCACCCTCGCCTCTGTCTGTGCGTGCCGTCAGCCATACATCCTCGTCTATTTGAGACGAACCACCCTCAAGGGTATGGTAGATAGAGAGGCCAAGAAACCCAGAATTCAATGCCGAACGAAACGTTTCGGAGAAAATAGGCAAACGGGGAGATTTGTCAACAAGAAAAGAGGCACGGGATATCGTTCAACTTACACATCGCCATCGCATGAAAGGCATCGCCCATCAACACAACCCTCCCTTTGGACCTCAACCCCTTTGGCGGAGGGTAGTCGTAGAGATCGAGGTGTTTCACGTCAGTGTCAGTGGGAATGCCGAGTGCAAGGGAGCGAAACGGCTCCGACCACCCTTCGGCAAAAGACCTGATGAGCTCGACCTTGCCGGCGTCCGTCTGCGGATAGCTGACCGGCTCCGGCTTACCCAGGAAGCCCGGGCGATCCGGCCATGAGACGCACAGTTGACAGCTGTACTTGCCCGTGCTGTCGTCGTTGTTTCCAGGAGCGTCAAGCACTGCAGTTTAGGGAAAATGTGTAATTAGCTTCTCGTTCTATCCTTTTTGGGCCCTGTTCTTTTTTCCGCCCTGCGTACAGGCGCGCGCGAGAGAGAAAGTCAATAGAAAGACGATGGAGAGGCAAGGGGAGGTGAGGGTCTCCGTCCCAAGGTAGCACTCTCGGCTCAGGGACAACCCTGGTTCGGTACAGAGAAAAGACCTCGCTTTCGTCTTGATCGGGTGTCAAGAGCCACTCTCGTGACATGAAGAAAAGAGAAAAGATCGGACACTGCTCCCTACGCTTTGATCATAAAACTAAGAAAAGGGAGGAACTTACTGCTGAGATAGAGAAACGTATCATTCCGAGAAGATGCACCTTGCAGGAAAAAGGGGTCCAGCTTCCGAATCGGCTCCATCTCTTCGGGAGTCAATTGCAACTTGAGACCAAGCACCCGGACCGGAATTCGGTATCTCTCATGTTGTTCCGGGAAGAGCTGGCGCCGGACACGGGAGGGGCCCCCGTCGCAGGCAATGAGCACGCGACCGGCCACCGAGCTGCCGTCTTCGAAGTAGACAGCGACACCGGTTTCATTTTCTTCATATTTCGTGAAGCCGTTCCCCCACTGCGATTGCTACTTAGCACGGGAGTTGTTTACGGAGCATTGCCAAGTGCCTCGTGTCCAACCGTTGAAGATATGCAGGTGGGGTTTCTAAGGGAGAGCAAACATACCTGAATATCGATATCTGTAGCCACCAAACGGCGCAGCCTCTCCCTCGTAACTCTAATCCTCAGACTCTCCGGGGCACGGGGGCTGGCGCCTTTCAGCTCGGCGGTGCTCAAATCGAAGAAGGGAAACGCAGATGCCTCACCCCTAGCGACTGCAGCCTGGTCGACGTAGGCCTCGGGCAGCCGCGCAACAAGATCATCTGGCAGCAAGGATCGTAGTGCAGGGAGAGACCAGTGCAGCGTCAGGCCCCAACCGACGCCGCGGGTTGTGAGGTCCGTGTCGCGCTCGTAGATACGGTAGGGGATGTTGTTCTTGCGGAGATACTGCGCAAGCAGCAGGCCGCTGACACCCGCGCCCACGATGATGATGGGGAGGGGTCCTTGCTGTGAGATTGCCATGGCTGCTGCTCTGTGCTTGACTGGGCCTTTTCTCTTGCTGGGCAGCTTCTTTGCTTGGAGCGTGCTTTTTCTTGTGGCTTGCCCGTTGGACGAATCGGTTGGTCTTGGGGAGAGGCTGGGGGGCGTGTATAACTTCGACCAGGCCTCTTTTCTTTTTTGCAACGGCTGAAAACAATGGACGATAAGTCAGAATTCTATGCAGCAACAGTGGCGGCTGTGCGGCAAGCAGGCAAATGAAACGAGCAAGAGAGCGTACGGCACCAATGAGATGCAGCAATAATGTAATTGTATGTGTGGTGACCGGCCTGGGCGCGGAACACATCTCTCAGAACTCTCCCACCAGTCTCTGCACCATCAGCCCAAAGGGCTTCACATCCGATGCAAGAGAACTCGAAAGTCATCCAATTTCACGCAACCAGACCGCGGTCTCTCTTCGACCTTTCATCGAACCACCCCCACTGTGGTACTCTTTTTGAGCCGAAAACTCTAATCCCACTTCCCTTGACCCCTGCCCAGAGGAATCGCCTGATGTCGGGGGCCACCAGCCAGGGTAGCCCAGCCAGAGACACCCATGAGGCGGGAGGATCGCCGGAGACCTCCCCCCCGGGCGCCACCTATGCTACACACACACACTCACACACCAAGGGCCTAGGAAAGACGCCGTCGACGGGCAAGTCTGGGTCCCCCCATCCTCTCCCTTCCAACGGGCGCTGTTCCTTCGGCGGCATATACCTACAGGCAAACAACAGGCACTGGCACACTAGGGAAGAGGGCGGGAGCGCGGGAGGGAGCGAAGGGGAGCAGAAAAAGGCTTAACAAACCCGTTTTGTTTGCTTGCCAAATGTCTGTGCCACAACGGAACGGTGCGCGGTCGTCGCCGCTACTACACCCCGGCCCGACAAGCAAACGGTAGTTTCAACCACACTTTGACGATGGCCCTTACTTTCGAAAAGTCTTTGGTTTCCAATCGCTTGCTCGAACGCCAGCTCATTTCAATCATTGGCGAGTTGTCGAGACAGAAAGGGAATTGGGGGAGGTTAGCGAGACAGCCAAAGTGCCTCGCTAGAAAGCAGGGGATGCCATACCAACCCCCAGAACCGCTAATTTCGGACAGGCTAGGAGGGGTGGGGGATAGGCAGAGAGAAAGGCTGAATTGCAAAAGTTCACCTCTGGGCCCGTACGTAATTCCACCGAGGAACCCACAGGCCAAAGAGAAAAGTGGGAGATTTCGTGTTGCTGTGCCTTTTCAGGCGTTCTTGGCCATTTTCCCTATTTACGGAGTTCAACTCCCACAACCTTGTAAAGCTAGGGCCCCCTTCCCCCAGAACCACTCTTTCAAGAGACGGATTTTCCCATCTCCCTCTTCTCGCCTGTGTCTGGCTAAGCATTCTCGTGCGGTGGAGGCTCCCGGGAAACAATGCCGTAACTCCACCGAAGTGTACACGGAAAGGATGTGGTAATCTAGCGCAGCAGCCGCGCCTCTCACGACCACTTACGGCGGTCTCTGCAAGGATAATTCACTCACCTCAGTCCCTCGCAACCGTGGTACGCATTTCAAGTCCACAAGGAATACCTGGTTCTCAAACACCAAGCCTCTTCGTACTCTAAGCTGGCCCGTTGGCTGCCCCTAAATCACGACCAGCACCAGGTCTTTGAGGCATCACCATATCAAGACACTCCAACGCACCAGATTCGGCGATGACGGGAAAAGCTCGTCCTGGATCGCATCTCGTTCTTCATGCTATCTCGTTCGCCCCTCACAGATATCCACCGTCTCCATCAGCACTTTACTCTCATGATTCATCGCCCACGCAGAGGAAAAGATGCGCCGAAAACGGTAACATCGGTCGCAGATCAGACTTTTCTCTCAGGCGTCTTTCTGTTCTCTTTCGCCCGCAGCCAACAACCCTTGCCTCAGCCATGCAAGGTTGCGGCACAGCACGCTGGCTACACGACGAAGTACGTACTCCGTACAGACACCCTCGTCATCCTGCTGCAAGCACGTAACATGGATATTCTTCGGTCATTTGCCTCCCCTTTCGCTACGAAGCCATAGATTTGGTAAAGCGCCGCGTTCTGTGTCACCTAGATTACTGTAGCCCATCTCCTGCGTTCCTGCTGCTTCCCGAGACTGCTACCGGAGGGCGAAGAGATGACGACTCTGACCGTCTGACAAAAGTCGAAACTGACAGAGAGAGCGCGTGTCAGGGAGCGTGTCATAATAGACGGTTGACTACATTCACACGATCTTCCAGACAAAGCCTCGAAATGGAACGTTACGCTGCCGGCTTGCTTCGCTAGTCCTGAGTTTGACTAGCGGGATGGTCTAACCAGTTGGCAACCAACCTCACCATTCAAAGTTCTGACTGGTACCATTTGACAGCTAAACATCAGATCGAATCACGCTTGCTGACAATGCTCCGATCCCCAAATGTTGGCTCGGATTCACTTGATGTCTTCCGACCAGCATGTCCGCCCTACCTTCCCCGTTCCATTCCTTTCCTTCTCGATATCATCTGCCCACCAGTCTGGTTCTCGCAAAGTTGCGTTGACCAGGGCAGCATAGGTCTTTCTCGTGTGCATGTCCCTGCAATTCCCACTCATCTACATTCGACAAGGGAGTCACAGCCATGCATAAGAAACACGCTATCCTGTAGCTGACATTGGACGGCTGTCCTGCATGGCCAATACCGCGCGGCGCCATGTGTATCCGACATGTACTCCGTTTTCAAACATACCAGATCATATTACACTGTATGTAACGCACCTCGCATTTTTCTACTGCGTAGACAGTCGGTGCCCTCCCGACCAGATTGCCGGATCAAGATACGGCCCCGAAGCCAGATGTATCACATTACGGGTATACTCAACGCCGATGCCGTGACATCCAATCTATCACATAACTCAGGAAGTACGAGCCCCTTCGCCGTACCTCCTTGCTAGTATTCCCCCGGTCCCCGAGTCCTTCATCGACGGTAGCGAGGAAGCGTAGCGAGTAGTCTGGTTTGGGAGAGTACGAAGTCTGGACTCTCGAACAAATCTCTGGGAATTCCGAATGCTACGCCAGTGGAGCCACGGTCCCCGAGTGAAGCCGGGGAGGAGATGCAACGAGAAGAGTGTTTGATGACCGATCCTCAAGGGGCGGATAGGAGGACCCATCAAGGCTGTTGGCGAGTGAGAAGTGACAGCATGGGGGCCGAGTGCGTTAGCCCTGTTCATATGAGCAAGGGGACCGAACTGGACCGGACCAGTGATAGTGGCGGGTTATGGTTTTTCAACGGTCGTTGGATAGCGTGGGAAGAAGGCCCATTAAAGAGGCGTCGATGGCAACGTCGTCGAGTGGAAGCTCAGATATCGACGACATGTGGTGCAAGCAGTTACCCGTACGGATACTTGCCTCGACCGATGTGGGACGATGCGACGCAACAGACGAGCAAAGTGATGAACCGACTTACGTCTGCGCTTGAGAGAACTCTCCTATCAGTTGGTCGAGAATTGAGAGTCCGCATGGCTTCCATGTTGTCGACAAGGCTTTGGGAGGGATCCCGCCCTGGAAAGAGCTGATTTGTGTCCGGAGTATTGGGAATTATTGCCCGCATACGCAGTAGTTGATGGAGCCTAGCAGGCACCAACGTGTGTACCACATGTGAGATACTTGGGAAAGACATTGATGGATTTGACATACTCGACAGGACGTCCCACTCGTCGGCATCCCATTATGCCAGGGACGTGGTTTGGGCTCCGAATTGGGTGGCCAAGGGCCGTCATGCCACGCCACATATGGAAGATTCCAGGGCTGCGAGCTGTGTATCTCATAGCATGCAAACGAATCCTCTTCTGGATGAGCAGTATGGATCACTTCTCTGAGTATTCTTTGATTCCCGAGGTTTCAACCATGGTCTCTCTGCTTAATCGGGGCTATTGGCAATTGATTTCTGTTAGTCAGACTTCGTCAGATCTGGCTAGACATGATCCTACTTTGAAGGCCTACCCCGGGCAAAATATCCCCTTCCCGTGCCTCCTTCTTCCCTCCTTAGTATCCGTACCTAGTATCAATGACTAGAATCTTCTCGGCTAGGTAGGCGTGCTCTATTGATCGCGTGCTTCTAAATGTGATATTGCGACCAAGTCCGAAGTCGTATGACAACCTTCAAACACAAAAGTCTACCTAAGACGCAGTAGCGTTCCGTCTGCAGCCTACCTTAGAAGGATCCAAGTCCATGGGAGCGCGATTCGGATACGGGTGATTGCTGCTGGGACGAGGTCGACACCATTCTGGCTCGCTTCCTTCCATAACCGTGGGAGGAAATTGGAGTCTGGAGATTGGTTCGCGACTCCACGTGACTACAAATTGATCAAGGGCAGCAAGAATATCGCTTGCAAGCAAGCCTTAGGCAAGGATCAATGCCCAAAGGAGTCTACTTAAGCGAAACTAGTCGGACAACAATGCTGAAGTGCGAATAATTACCTTAAACCTGTAAATGGCCGCCCGTTGAGCAGATAAGATCCCAATAGAGTTTCTGCTCGGAACGGCTGTACGGCGGAAGCTAGTGTGACAACGGCGAGTTTAGGTTCAATAGTGTGACTAGAACTAGCGTATCTTGAAGAATCCTTCATTCTCCTAGCGTGACAGTTGAACCGATAGCCTTGGCATGCAGTCTAGCTTCTAAATATCGTCCAATTATTAGAAGTCGATTCTGGGTACAGATACTTGCGAATACGTACTTTCCATGTCGCTTGAGAAGACCAATAGAGCCTAGACATCCCCTCCCTTAGTGAGGTCTTCAAAGCCGACACAGCGAGTGGCTCCAAGAGACCTAAACCATTCAGGGAGATTTTGTTATTCCTGAGACTCGGTCAAGCTACTGTGTCGTCTTCTAGAAGTAATTCTGATGTCAGCACGCTCGCTTGTCGAATAACCGCAATCTTGGACTGAGGTGGTGGGCTCTATTATTGATATTAAACACTAGCTCTAAGATGATGTTTTGGTCTTATCCTGCTATGGCTGTCTATACACCAATGCTGTCCCTCCCGTCTCGATCATCGTGCGCCGGCTGTACTGCTGAAGATCTGCGAGACTCATCTTGACGAAGTCGTATTCCTCAAGTGCCTCCTCAGAAGAGCGAGAAGCTATTTGCGGTGGCATTTTCAGATAAACGTCAGGCCGACTCATTTCGTCTCCATTTTGGTTGGTGTCTTTGGAGGATTTGGAACGGAGGACTTGGAGTAAGGGGCGAAGGGTCGGTAGGCAGCAGCATATCACGGCACTATTCGAGTATGAGTGTGAGTCCTTGACAAGAGTCATCGTAGATGGGGCATTAAGTGCCTACCAATAAGCCTCCAGTCCTGTCCAAATCATCAAATCGACGGTTCCCCATGTGGGATCTTTGTAGTCAAAGGTTGAGACTTTGACCAGTCTGATGATGGTGATGAAACAGTTGCTATTCATAAACCTTTAGCGAGTCTTTCTCATCTGTCTGCTCGCAAGCATGAAAAGATAGAAGATACTCACAAGCCGCCGAATACAAAGGACGAGATGAGGAGCATTTTCTTAAAAGGTGACATCGTCAACCTCATCGCGTAGGGTATTGGAATAAGTATCAACACGAAGTCGGTCACGATGCTACCAATTGCTATGCTGATGTATAGCTTGGAAAGGTCAAGACAGTTCTTGTGTGTAGTCCAGAAGTTTTGCACGGGTATGCAAGCCACAATCGTTGGAATAGTCTAGTTCTAGTGTCAGTACTTATTGAAAATATCCAATGGCACCGTCCCATGCCTCTTGTAGCATGAGTTTATATCAACTTCCTTGTGAGACAGTAACCCTTTCAGATTAGGACTCTGCTGGCGCTCAAAGTGACTTACTGCGTATATTGCCCAAGCTCCGATGAAGAACATGAGACCGTACAGATAGTACCTCGCACTGAAGAGTCCAAATATGCGGTGATATAATATCACTAGTGATAGCCGTGCGCTTGCGAGCCCCATTGGATACATAATCTCGTTGGCGAAGATTGTCTGATAGAATCGGGTAATGTTCATGGGGTCTTCCTCGTGGACAACTACTTCGTGTCTACCAAGTCCAAACTTGAGCCAGAACATCGTGCCGGTGAACACTCCGACGATGAAGACCTGCAACATGTGTAAGCGACACTCGCTACTAAAGAAGAAGGAAGAAGTCCACGAGAATCATGAGACTTTCAACGTCGTCGAGCCATTCCCTCAGAGAATCGCAGACTCACTAGAGCAGTTACCGACAGCCAGTCATCCCAAGCCAGCCTGCGACCAGACTGCCTCGCCGCAGCAAGCCGGGCACAAACCGAGAGAATTGAGAGGACGAAGAAGATGATGTGGATCGTATACACCTCTCCCGCTCGATTTTCCGCCCTAAAAGCAGCCTCTCGCTCCGGTGTCATGAGAGGCATGCCCTTGACCGTGTTCAACGACCGAAAGAACGACATATTGCGATGCCGACTCCGGGGTCTCGGTCGGTCGGTAGGTCGGTACAACAAGTCACGATGCTTCCATAGGTGGCAGGGAGGAAGAGGAGAAAATTTGACAGTAGGGGCAGCAGCGGTGATGGCATCGAGGGGTAGAAGCTGAGGAAAGCAGCACTAGAAGGGCTCTAGAAGGGAAGAAAATGACACCTGATTGGGAAAGTCAATGAGAAAAGAGGAGGGGAGGGGATGAATTGAATTGGACAAGCTCTGAAACGTCGTCCCGGTGGATGACCTTTCCCAAGCTGAATAGAGTTCGACACAAGGCATTCAAGAGGGTTGCGAGACGGGAACTTTGTGTGTGCTGCCATCCTTGACAGAGTACACGGTAACGGAAAGTCAAAAAAGTGACCACCTCCTCAGCTGAATGTGCAAGTTTTGAATTAGAGTGCTACATGTTCCGGTAAAAGGAAAGCAGGCCGGTTGCCTGCTAACGCGTGTTTCTCGCGTTATTCCACCAACTGCAGCTCAGCTGGAGTAGTTGACTTAGAACTCTCTTGGTTATGGCTTGACGTTGACATGGTAGAGTTTCTGCTAAGCAGAACTTCGCTTACGACAGCTCAAATCCCGACTCTTTGCAACTCTCATTAGCATCGGTGGGCTGGCTGATTGGTTCCCTCCTCTCCGGATCTTCCACGTGCAACATTCCTTCCGTTGCGTTTCGACTTGTTCGGACAATACCCAAGACGCCGGGAACAATGTGTTCAGACAATTTGGAGACGGCTTGATCAGCCAACACATACACGTGTTTGATAGCCGGTAGAGTAGGTGGCCAGCCAGACGCGCGAAAGAGAGGAAAAGGTGCGCTTATACAACTTTAAAAGTCAATCAGGGACGAACAGGGAGAGGTCCTACCGCTGACGTCAAACATGAAGCCGAAGACCCGAAATGACTCGCCGAGTCCGAGGCTTTACATACTTCTTTCAGACAATGAGGCCGAGAATGAGAGAAGGAGGTATTTCCTTTTTGCTTTGAGGGGTATCGTGAAATATGAAGCTGTGCGCTACTCAAACTCACGAGGGCGAATTGCTGGTAGGAGGGCGCTTGGCTGTCACAGACATCTCTCCGGTCGATGGCCAGGATGCTCTATCATATGATACGTCGCGTTTGCATTCTTCGATGTCAATCAAGGGTTCCTCCGTACCTGAACCTTGGGTTTGAAGAGTCCCATGCTTGATGCAACATCAGTAGACAAAGTCGACGATCAAGTAGGTTGTTTGGAGCTTGTCACAAAGCATCGACCTCACCTGCCGCATTGCGATCCAGTGTCCAAGATGCTTTTTCGCAGAAAACCACCCAAATCGCCTTCACTTTGGCATCTTTCCCCCGTCGAAACTAGTGACAGGGTCTGGCCTGCAGGAATAACGGCATTTCAGCTGAAAGAAGGTGCTGCCTGCTTCCTTGCGGCCGAAACCTAGGCCTTAGACACCAAGCCGTGCCAGCTTGTGCCTCAAGTGTTGTCGCCGTTACCTAACACCGATGCGAGTCGTGCCTAAAGGTAACAAAGTCCGACCGCATCGCACATCCGGATCAACTAAGGGCTGTCTAACAATTCAAGCCCCTTTTCCCCCCGAAATCCCCAAGCGCGGGAGCGCGGGGTAGGAGCGAGACGTGACAAGAAGCTACGTGGATGGCGCGGGGCAAGTGGCTGTATCCAAGGCGGACCTCGGCTCATCCCGAACCGTGCACCGGGCCGCACATGTATTTTAGGAAACTGATGGACAAGAGTCATGGCATTTACAAGAATGCTGGACAGAAAGCGAGCCAGATTTGAAGAGAGACAATGTCAATCAAAGTCAAGAATGTTCCCGTCGTTGAGCCATACGGCAACCCTGCGCCCTTTGCGGAGCCGGCGTGGTACAATACCCTGACTTCTCCTTACTACGATGAAAGCCATCGGAGGGTGAGGGACTACGTGCGCAAGTACATCGAGGAGCATATCGCGCCCAATATTCAAGAGTGGGAAGAGAAGGGGCATGTCCCCGATGAAGCAAGAATTCACTTTGCCAAATCAGGCTTGGCTTTCCCAGAGTTGCCGCGTGAATATGCTGGCGATGTTCCATTACCAGGCAATGTCCCAGCTGAGAGTAAGCACGAAGCTTCAGTGTGAAGCCGTCTTCTGACATCATTCCTAGAATGGGATATCTTTCACTCGCTTGTTGTAAGCTACGAAGCTAGTAGAATATGGGCTGCTGGAGTGTCTGTGGGACTCAACGGCGGCACGACAATTGGTGTACCTCCTGTCATCCATCATGGCACAGAAGAGCAGAAGAAATGGTGGCTTCCTGGGCTTGTTAACGGGAAAACAAGCTTTTGTCTCGGTTGTACCGAGCCTACTGGTGAGTATTGTCGGACGTTTCTTTCGAGAGTGTCGTGATTAAAGGCGTGAAGGCGGCTCCGATTTGGCGAATTTGAAGACCACGGCAACCAAATCAGATGATGGAACATATTACACAGTCAACGGCCACAAGGTAAGTCAAAATACTATAAACTCTACAGATGGACTCCTGCATCTCTTCAATGCTCACGACTTGAGACTAATGAACCTTCAGAAATGGATCAGCGGTGCGATACGTGCTAGCCACATGACAACTGCTGTAAGGACTGGAGGCCCTGGTATTAAGGGCATCTCAGTCCTGGTCATTCCTCTTGATCTTCCCGGCGTTTCTCGACGCAAAGTTAGTAATAGTGGATGGAACGCTGGAGACAGCACATGGGTGACACTGGACAATGTCAAAGTACCTGTCAACCACCTCATCGGGCAGGAGAACGCTGGGTTCCAGTACATTATGACCAGTAGGTGACCCTGTGAGAAGATGACATATACCTTGGCTCTTATACTGAACAAACAGACTTCAACAAGGAACGATTCATCCTTGCTGTACTCATGAACGGCCAGGCCAGAATTTGCCTGGAAGACGCCTGGGCATATGCCATAGACCGCCACACATTCGGCAAGCCACTCATGTATCATCAGATCATTCGACATAAGCTCATCACAATGGCGCGCTACATCGAGTCGCACTGGGCCTGGCTCGAACAGATTGCGTATCATGCTCATACTACCGGCTCCATGGGCACGGAACTAGCATCAAGGATCGCCATGGCCAAGATTCACGGCGGACGTCTTCTAGAGCTCGCGAACCGGGAGGCACAGCAGATATTTGGTGGTGCTGGATATCAACGTGGCGGCGTTGGGGCTCGCGTCGAACAGATCAGCAGAGACCTTCGAGTGAACATCGTCGGCGGCGGAAGTGAGGAGATCATCACGGACTTGGCTGTTCGGCAAGAGATTGGTGCAGCTGTGAGTAGAGGCGCAAAGTTATGATAAGTATTGAGCGTTATAGTCCCGTAACCGAGAAACTCATCGCCGTACACCCAGTCAGCCGGTTCGTGTTGCGAGGCGGCCCGGCTCAGATCCTCTCGCAGCCTACCGAACGTGATAGAGCCAGAGCGACTGTGACTCCCCTTCTCCAAGCCTTCTTCAAAGGCAGCCCAGGTGCTGAACATGCTGCGTTTGCTCCCTGGAGCTGGTCGACAGACAGTCCCGAGCTCGCTGCCGCTATTGGGCCAGAGCTGGCTGCTGCAGGAATCCCGGGTGGTCTTGAGAAGGTGACCATTTGCTCTGCTGAGGAAAAGGAGATCCTCGGAGAAACTTGGTCTGAGATCAGAGACCTCCTGATGAACTTCATGGGTAGTAGCAGGCCCGGACAGGCGACCGCAGTTCCGTCCGCTGTGTCACCCGGGGACTCATCCAAATGCCATGGCTGTGGTCTCTCCTCCGAAAACTTCTCCTCGCCGATGAAGAAGTGTTCCGCGTGTCAGAAGGCGTGGTATCATTCCCAGGACTGCCAGCGCTCGCACTGGAAAATGCACAAGCCGACCTGTGTCGCCCACCGCCCGGCTCCAGCCCCGTCCACGGCTGCGTCGCCGGGCATGGGCCCCGCATACAACTATTACAACAATGTGGCGCGAAAATCTGAGGAGGGGCAGGCGTTGTTGCGCTCGCTTAAAATCGATCCTATCTCAGTTCGCCCAGGAATGGAATTGCCACTGCGCCGTCTCGTCATCGCTGGCAAAGACACGCCTGAATACTTGCGAATTCTCTTTGGGCCGACGTTTGCTGGCGAGAAGAAGGAATTGGAGAGGGTTAGGCTGGAGGTCCTGATTGACCCTCCTCGTGGCTCCCCAATGTACGTGAAACAAGACCTTGATGACGCCGGAACCAAGCCTCCCACTCGTGCGCTTCGACCGGCGAGCGAGGCGGAACTGGAGACGTTGAAGGAAGTGCGGGAGATCCAGGAGAAAGTCAGACAGAAGGTTGGGGTTGGACGTTCGCCTGATACAAGAGTCATGCAAGAAGTCCTGATGACTTTTGGGCCCGATTGGTCAGAGAAGTTGCAGCTGTACATGCTTGCAGTCAATACTATGGACCAAGGTGTCCGCCGCTGAAGATCAAGTCGAGTTGCTCGCAAGACATTTTCGTCGAAAGGAAGTTTGGGATTTGGGCCAAGAAGATCCCGGGAGAGCTTTCAGCAAGCATTATTACGTGCTCAGCTTTCAATGGAAGCAAGGGGGCAATACAGGGCCTGCTGTCATCTAAACAACCCTAAGCAAACTTAGAAGCGAGAACAATGACACCACTGGGATGATGTATTCTACATTTGTGTGCTTTGGAAGTGTTACTAATACGAAGATCGTCATAGCAATGTTTTCTCGAAGGAAATGGAAGGAAGTGGTCAGAAGTGACTTTGATATATGTATACGAAGCTACCTGGGTACTACCCACAGCCTACAATCATCGCCCGAACCCGCTGTCTCAATGACGGACAACGCGATTGCGGACGTGATAATCCAAGTCATGCCTCCTCTTCCCAGAGCCAACGACTCTCGTTTCAAGTGCATTTAGCAGGCCATCGAGACCGCGCTTAGCAGAACCTCCAGATAATGTGACACCCTCATCAGTCAGGGCTTTTCTGACGTCCGCGACAGTAGCCTTCGAAGTTGAAGCCGGAGCCTCGACCTCATCAAAGCTTTTCTCCTGGTTAGTCTTGGGAACTTCAGCTGAAACATTGACGTCGATTTACTCACTAGTAGACGGCATAAGGACCTGGCTTGCCCGCCGCCTTGGCGGTTTCTCCACCGTTCAACTCTTGCTTGCCGATGAGCTTGAACTTTCCGGAAATCCCCTGCACAAATGAGGTCTCGCGGTATTCCGAGTTGGCAACGGCTTCAATGTAGCGACCTGACTTGGAGTTGATCATGAAGAGGTAGTCCTTTGTGGTTGTGAACATGCCGTCGCCGAGGTTGAGGGTCGTCGCCATGACTTTGCGAACCTCGCCGGTGCCACCTGAAGGTGTGTTGACGTTGAGAACGAGGTCTACAAGTCATTAGCAAATACAAACATTGGAACACTGTAGAATATCAGCATAACTCACCTTGAACTTCGTAGATGCCTGCCTTTCCCTTGCTAACCACACCGGACTCAAGCTTATTGAGCATGTTGACCGTCGCAGCATCAAGATCAGTCGAGCGTACAACTAAACCAGTAGCAGAGGGAAGCTTTGACAAGGCGTTGTTGAACTCGGGGTTGATCATGTACCATTGGATCCAGGTCTTGAGAGCCCACTTCTCCTGATCACTCAGACCATACGCCTTGGACGTTGCGGTGGCGATCTTGCCCCAGTCGGCGGTCTTCTTCCTTGCCTCGAGCAACACAGCGCTGATCTCGTCGACATTGGCGGAGACGGACTGCGCCTTGGTGTACCAGTTGGCAAAGCCCTCGCTCATGGTAGTGATAAGCGTCTTCTCGTCAGCTGTGAGGGCTGCGGTCTCGGAGAGAGTGGCTACGACGCGATTGGCCAAGGGGATGGCTTCAGATGTGCCGAGGCCGGTTGCCAGGCCAGTCTGGTCGTTCCAAACGGGCTCTGGTGCTTCCAGGGTCTGAGGACTCAAGAAGCAACAGAACTTGCGCAAGATGCCCTTTTGGCGGCGGACCCTGGCACCACCTCCCTCGATGCAGATTTTGCAGTTGTCGAATCCTGATGAGGTTAGCTCTGGAGCCTGATCAATTGGACTAAAGTTGGCGTTGCTTAGACTTACCTCCTTCTTCGATGGATTTTTCCATGGCAGCAACGTCGCTATCCGTGTACAGCAGTTTGGGCTTTCCATCGCCGGTATCACGGAAGATCTGCACGGTGTTCTCACCCTCCTTAGCTTCCAGCATGAGCCCCTTGCCTTCGCCAACAGTTGCCGCAGTCTTGCCAAACTTTGCCAATACAGCGTCCACGGCACCAACAGCCTTCGCTGCTGTTGCGACGTCCTTGGCCACACTCAAGAGTCCCACAACATCCGCGAAGATGCTGCCCGCCTTTTCAATATCGTTGTCGTAGGTGAGTTCGTGGATGCTCTGTTTGACAAGACGTCAGCAGAAGCACTCGACTGGGGCTTTTCACGAGGCCTGAGTGCGTGTTTACTTACATCAAAGGCTCTGAATGCGTCTCTGCATCCCTCTCGAATGGTCTTTCCGACGCTCGCCTCAAAGATGCTGGTAAGATGGCTCATCCCCATACATGTAACCTTGAGCTCTTGGACGTGAGGCGTGGCTAGAAACTTGAAAGCACCGATAGCTGAGTTGATGACGTTCTTCATTACGCCTGAAGCAAGCCTCGTATCAGTGATTGGGGCTCTCTTGGTATTAGAATCAGTCACAACTTACCCATCCAAAACTGGTCCTCAAGAGGAATATTCGACCCGGGGTTTCCAAACAGAGGATCATTTGAAGTCTGGCGCTTCGAGTTCGCGCTACCGCCTCCACCACCAACACCACCAACATACTTGATCCCAGCGAACAAATTAGAAGCGCAAGCGGCTCCTGAGGGATTAGCAACACAAGGTCCCTGGCTAATCTTCCTCACGCAGACTTCAAGCGCATCCGACGCATTGGCTCCAGTGCGAACTTCAGGAAGATCCAGACAAAAGGCAGGCCACAAGTGAAGGATACAAGTCTTGTTGGAAGGATTGGCATCGCAGCCGCTGGGGATGGTAGCAAAAGAGCGCGCAACGATGCAGTCGGTCGAACCCATACTTTCTAGCATGGATGTTGATGTGTTGCCTTGGTCGGCGAATCTGCACTGAGGGATATCGCCTTCTGATGCTGGCGGAGTGGTGCCAAAAGAGGTGGATGTGAGGTTTGTCAATTGCGCTTGCGGGTAGTACATGGTCCCCGTGGCGGGAGGAATGACGAGCTTTCCGGTGTCGTTGGCATACGCGCAGAACTGGGTCTGGCTGGCTGAGGGGAAGGTAAGGGCTTCGCCGGCGTTGGCGGGCCTCTCGAGGGCACCCAGTGTTGAGGAGTAGATGAAGAAGGGCTGCTTGTCTCCGGGAATGCCAACCTGATGAAACTTTTCGTTAGGGAAACCCTTCGTAGCTCAAGCAAGTGAAAACTTCAGCTCACATAGAATGTCTGGTTCTTGGCCAGATCGCATGCAGCAACCGTGACAGTACCGCTGGAGATATCCCAGCAGCCACCACCGGAGCCTCCTCCGGCAACTCTGATCCCCGAAGGATCGGTGAAAGATTTACCACCGGCCAATATTCCGTTTGTTAAGTAAAATGTGGTAGCTAGATCGGCAGCCGTGCCACCCGCCATCACCGTGTCAGTATTAGACTGAACTGGTGTGAACGTTTTGGCATCCCCCGTTGCGTCTTGAAAGCTTGCAGCGCATGATGGTGTATTCTCGGCCGTAGCAAAGAACTTAAGCGGCATTCCAAGAGTCTGTATTACAGACGGCTTTCGTCAGTCCCGTTGTCCTTCTTGCGATATTGGGGAGTGGTGGTCCCAGGAGGAAGCTAACCCATTCAACCGTGTTGTCTGTCTGACCATTGGTTCCAACCGCTAGCAAACCAATGGCCCCAACGAGACCCCGAAGAGAGTCCCGTGATTTCACCATGATAAAGGCTGAGAATGACTTAAATGAAGAACGAAAAGGAGTCAAATGAGTGGTTATAGGTTACGGTCAAAAGAGTGACTGAGAGAAGGAACGGCCGAAGCTGACCAAACAAATCAGGGCCCCAACGCGTCGTAGGGCAGCCGGCGTTCGTTTTATCATCCGAACATGATCGCAGAGCAATATCATAGTCAGTCAAACCACTTGAACTAACAACAACTTACTAGCTCGGTCTGTCCGCTGTACCCGACGCAAAGGACATGATCAAGTTGCAACAGGGGCTTTCAGGCACACTGCGAATAAAGTTGCGACGGTTCGCCTACATCGTCATGCATTCACTTTTTTTCAGAGCCACCAACTTGACTCAAGACTAGGGAACCCCTTCTTGCAGCTCAGAGAAGGGGCTGTGTAGGCCTGGCCGGCCTCGCAGGCCTAGAATCATGGTATGTTGTCTGGGCTTGATAACCATCCTTCTCACCAGACCTGTTTGCTTGTCATGGTTTCATCTGTGAGCCTTGTGGGGCCAGCCCATCCGATCGGCTGCGTTCGTTCGCTAGGGCAGTGATAAAGTTTAAGCCATCTTCATCAAATTGACGCTCGGATCTATTTAAAGACCACTGGCCACCGCGTGGCATTTCCCCTCTTGACGAAAAAGAATCCTCCGCAACCTTATTAGAAGTCAAGTTAATACACCTCGTTTGGTATGTGAACAAGGCATATGGGACACGTTTACTCGTTAAAGCAATCAACTCGTAAAGTTTGACTTCCAGTATTGGCTGAAACTAGTTGACTCCTGAAGACATGTTGAGAATATGGCGAAGTAGAAAGATGGAAAAAGGCCAAAACGAGTTTTGCTTTGAGTCAGATACGGTGATCATGTAGTGGTGTTCAATCATTCAATACGAGACGAACATGAGGCTTGGGCCAGGCGCGTTGAAGTTTTTATGACATGTAACTGAGCTATTCGGGCCATTTCGTCTCCTTGCGGGTCTACCAACCAAGAACCGGCAGGGAACTGCCGCCTGGCCGCCGGACGCCAATAGACACCGGGATGCTCAACAGAAAGCCGAGTATGCCGACAGTCTCGTACGAGGTCTAGTCAAATATACCGCGCGCAATTGAGCGAGTCATGCTATGTTCTTGGCCAGTTTCTCCCTTCTGGGCCTCGAGGGGCAGGTGTTGGGATGCCAAGCTTGACTTCACCAGGTGAAACATCTTAAGAATAATCGTTGCTATTAACGAATGTCTTCACCCACTTTTATGTGATTCGTAAACGGTTGCAAGCTTCTAAGAAGATCTACACTTTGCTATAAGAGAAATGGGCAGCCTGAACTTAGTTCTAAGAATATGTGGGCTACGAACGAACTTCCGGCTCCCAGGGGTAGCTGGAATTAGACGAGCATAACCCCGACTGAACTTATCTTTCGATGAGGCCATGAGGTTCGACTTCAACTTTTCTTCTCTGGAACCAGTGGCTTTTCTTTCGCTAGAAAATTTCCTTTACCACGCATACGCTAGGTTGTCTCAAACACCATTGCCAGGAGCAGGCTACGATCATCATGGATTGTTCGGACATCGCGACAGCTGGGCAGAATATCCAAAACTTCTGCTGATGTATACAATCCATGGCAAAGTTGAGTCTTGATCTTAGAGTGACTTTTAAGCAGTGGTATGGAGAAAGTCTTGACACAGAAATTGGTCTTCACTCAGGGGTCAGCGGCACTTGTGAGCACGGGTGGGCTGATATGGGATATTCTGTTCTCATAGCCCTCGATGTAGACCCGATGTTCAAAAATTTGTCTAATTAAAGACTTCTGGTGTATTGATTACTACTGACGTCAAAGACTGGTGCTTGTAGGAGACAGTGCCATGTCACATGAGCCCTATCACGCCGACTACCAATCCAAATCGACAACCCATCCATCCACTAGATCACGCCTGATGTCGTCGCAGATTTCACAGAATCCTTCAGATCGAGCCGCTCAAGCCAACGGGAAGCGGTGGTCAAATACGTCAAACCGCTATTCAGGTGTACGCGTAGCATCGGCTTGCCAGTCGCTGTGAAGATCCTTTTGTCAGCGCCTTCAGACCTGTATGCCGTAACTTTGTGAGCGTCCCATCCCATGTCCTTGACCAAGTCGAGAGTCCGCTCTGCTCTTGGCCCCGGGCTAATGAGGTAGAGTTTCCCGAAATCGTACTCCAAAGACATAACGGCTCGGTCGTACTCAGATTGATGCTCTAAAATACTTACAAGTCTCTACTTTATTTAATCGAGTAGACCTTGGCAGACAGGGCTGCTTAGGGTTGGGATTGTTCCAACGGCCAACTTTCTCGACATATGTGTACGGCAAAGCCAGAATCGCGCCACAGGCTTTTGGTAATTCTGGCATTTGGACACTTGCGCGTGGAAAGATTGTGTTCTAAATGACTGGCCTGCGCGGTACTTTATCCTCAGGGTCGCTGACGTAGATACATGGTCAAACGAGTAGGGGTTGTTCATTTATGGTTGGCAAGCAAAATCATGCTAGCGGGGTAGGTTGTTGCCTCACTTGCTGGCATATGCAGGAGGCCGTCGAACCTTTCATCCCTCAGCCTGTAAGCACTGACGCGGTAATATCTATATACCCTATTGCATGCAAGGCGCCTGCAGCGTGGACCAACAGCCGACGAGAGATGAAAACAAGGCGGATAGGACAAGCGGTAAGGTCAAGACAAATGCAGCGAGGGGTTGTCGAATCAATACCGATCACTTAACCCTCTTGATCATAATGACGAGCATCAGTTGTGCCGATTGGTGGAAGCCTGTTGATACCATAAGGGACAGAAAACATATGAAGGCTATGCTTGAAAGCAAAGGAAAAAATCCAATAACAAATGCAAAACCTGCTTCCACAGCTTATATGAGGGATAGCCATCATCCACGCTACACAACGACATCAATTATCGAACGCATTGAACCTTCTCTCTCTTGGTAATCATGAGTATTCCACTAGTTAGTCGACGGATAGTCATGAACCTAGAAATCACTGGAAACTTACAGAAACGGTTTGTGCAAGACGCCGTTTTGCTTCACAAGCTAGACCCAGTAAGGGGTAGTCCAACGGCATACGGTCTGGATCGACACCCTCGTGACGCGGGTGTTCCCCGAGAAGAGTTGCTAAAGCGAAAGTTTCTCGATTCTTTCGCTCTACTAGCTTCAACCCACAAAGATGGCGACACAGTATCGGCGGCCGCCTTAGAGGTAGGAGCGCCTGAGGGCTCGGTCATTCGCATCGCTAGCAATGCTGGGGTGTCCGCATCGACACTGGTCCTTCTTCGGGAAGTGATGGAAATTCTTCATGACGTATCTGCTATGGGTAAGTAGTGACTCTTGATTTGTGTTAGAAGACTCATACTGACATTGATGCAAGGTCTCACAAACGAGCGGAGACTGAGTGTCCTATTGAAGATGATCAGTCTCGACAAGGCCAAAATCTGGTATTATCTTGCGGACCTCCGGAAACAAAGATCAGAAATTTTGAGGCTTGAGCAGTTCTTGCCGAAGCTTTCATCCACCTTTGAGGTCAACGAAGTCGAAAGGTTCACTGCATGGATGGGAAAACTTAGTGCAATCACAACCATTGCAACCGGAGCGCCTCCATCAGAGCTCTTGCCTTACGTTTTATGGGCAGAAAAGCCAAATGGGAACTTTCCACCTGTATCGAGGCTCTGTTCTCTGTCCAGAGCATACCAGTGCCCCCTTGGATATACAGTATCTACAAGCTAGGGAGATACGGGGTCGCATCAATAGCGTTGTGTAAGCTTCCAGCAGAGTTCCCCGCCCTCTTTTGCCCGATGCGAATTGAACCTATCGAGCCCATCTCAAGGTTTGAATTTTCTATTGCAGAAGGCGAACGGCCTTTGAGAGATGTTCTACGGAGAATCGTTGGAGACCAAGAAGAGGAATTCGCGAGGAGATTGGCTACAATCTGGTGTGTCACAGATCCAGAGCCGCGCTTTCAGAAGGCCTGTCGTCTTGACCTCGCTGTTCATGCTGAGATGCAACTTATCGGTTTTTACGACCGAAATCCTGAGCTTATGCCCTCGTTTCGGTTCATGGGTGTCAGTAAGAAGAGTTGCTTCTTGTGTCATAGATTCCTCCAAGACCATCCGGTATCCTTCTCTGTATCTTCCTGCCACCAGAAGCTGTACTTGGCATGGAGGTCCCCACCGACATCTGACGCAAAAGCGTACAGGACATACAAAAAGATTGTCACCAATTTGTGTGTTCAAATGGAAGCAACAGCCAGACGAGAACTTCAGAGCCGGATTGGCAGTGCCAGAGCTTTCCAGCTAGATTTCTACCGCCGGAGTATCCTTGACAGGTCTCTTTGATTACAGGCCTCTCAGCCCTGCAGAGTCTGTGGACACATCCGATGCACCTTTTCCGCCTGATCCATCACCAGAGCCTCCATTAGAGCCATCTGAGGACGATTACAGTGATGACCATGCAGGCGTCTCCCTTGAGATAGACAAAGAGACACCTCCCACAGAAAGTGAGGGAAAACGCCCCGGGGAGACAATCATATCACCTTCACGAGCTTCTCGCGGTGAATACTCCACTCCAGAGTTCGTGTTCAATATCAGACGTACTGGCGACCCTCAGAGGCGAGAACTTGTGGTCTTGAAAGACATTCTGGATACGTCACAGAAGCCTTCCTGGCGAAAGCTGATTGAGATCTTGAGCAACGATGAGCACTTCGGAGTGGGGTTTGTCGAAAGAGAGGAATTTTTGATGGTCAATGATAAGTCAACATACCCACTTCCTGGCACCCCCCTGTTTCTGGCACCCACAAAAACGCGAAAATCCACCACAACCCAATGCCCACCCCCAACCTCCTTTTATCACAACATTTTCAATTCGCGTCCAAATGGGCTCATCTTTTGCACATGTCTTCTTCTATATATAATGCCTCAATATACCGAAGATCAGCTTCGTCAGGCTCTCGAGGA